AGTAGCAGTAGCAACAACAGTCCGAATTAGTAGCCGTCGTAGTAGTAGTTGTTGGTGCAATGGAAGTTGTAGTCGCCATAATAGTAGTAGTCGTAGTAGTACGAATAGCAGTACTAATCAAAGTAATAGTAGTAAGAGTATTAATATCAATCGTATTAGTGGTGACAAAGTAGGACATAGTAGTCGTGATGGTAGTAATAGCAGCAGTAGTAGTAATAGTTGCAGTAGTAGTAGTAGATGTGATAGTAGTAGTAGTAGTAGTAGTAGTAGTAGTACTGGTAGTAGTAGTAGTAGTAGTATTATTAGTAGTAGTAGTAGTAGAAGTAGTGGTGGTAGTTGTAGCGGTAGTAGTAGTAGTAGTAGTAGTAGCAGTGATAGTAGTAGTAGTAATAGTAGTAGTAGTAGTAGTAGTAATGAGAAAAGCAGCAGCAGTGGCTGAACCAGCAGTAGAAGCCGTCGTCGTAGTCGAAGTAGTAGTCGTAGTATTAGTAGTATTAGTAGTAGTAGTAGTAGTAGTTGTAGTAGTTGTAGTAGTAGTAGTAGTAGTAGTAGTCGTCGTCTCTGGTATTAGTAGTAGTAGTAGTAGTCGTCGTCGTCGTCGTCGTAGCAGTAGTAGTAGTAGTAGTAGTAGTAGTAGCAGTGGTAGCCGTGGTAGTGGTAGCAGTAGTAGTAGTCGTAGTCGTCGCCGTAGTAGTAGTAGTAGCAGTAGTAGTAGTAGTAGTAGTAGTGGTAGTAGTAGTGGTAGTAGAAGTAGAAGGTAGTAGTGTAGTAGTAGTAGTAGTAGTAGTAGTAGGAATAGTAGTAGTAGTAGTAGTAGTAGTAGTAGTAGTCGTAGCAGCAGCAGCAGCAGCAGCAGCAGTAGTAGTAGTAGTAGTAGTAGGAGTAGTAGTAATAATAATAGTAGTAGTAGTAGTGGTAGTAGTAGTAGTAGTAGCAGTAGTCGTGAAAATAATAGCCGTAGCAGTCGCAGTAGTAATAGTAGTAGTAGTAGTAGTAGCAGTAGCAGTAGCAGTAGCAGTAGCAGTAGTAGTAGTAGTAGTAGTAGTAGTAGTAGGGGTAGTAGTAGTAGTAGTAGTAGTAGTAGTAGTAGTAGTAGTAGTAGTAGTTGTAGTAGTAGTAGTAGTAGCAGCAATAGTAGCCAGTACTTGCAGTAGTACTAGTACTAGTAGTAGCCGTCGTCGTCGCAGTAGCAGTAGTAGTAGGGAGGGAAATAAGGGGAAGGAGGGAGGGAAAATGAGGAAATGAGGGAAAGAGGGAGGACGAGGAGTGCCGCGGAATGGGGAGAAGGAGGGAGGCGATGGAGCGGGGAGGACTCCGGAGGAGCGCCGAGGAGTGCAATGGCATGGGGAGGGACGGAGAGAGGAGAGAGGAGGGAGGAGGGCGGAGGAAAGAGGGAGAGCGAGGGAGGAATGATGAGGAGGCAGGAGGAAGAGAGCCATGGAATGGGGAGGCGGAGCGAGTAGTGCGATGGAGTGGGGAGGACTCCAGAGGAGTGGCGAGGAACGCCGAAAAGCAAGATGGAGGGAGTTTCGAGGAGTGGGGAGGGATGCCGAGGAGTGCGGTGAAGTGCGGAAAGGTACAGAGGAGTGGGGAGGAGTGCGGAGAGGGGGTAGGAATGGAGTGAAGTGCGGAGCAGTGCCGAGGAGTGCGATGGAGTGCGGAGTAATGGGAGGCTCTGGAAGGCTCCTTGGAGGCCTCTGGAGGGTTCCTTGGAGGGTTCCTTGGAGACCCTGGAGGCCTCGAGAGCCCAAGAGGCTCTTCGGCTGCTCCAAAAGGCTCTTCGGAGAGCCCAACAGGCTCTTTGGCGGCTCCAAGAGGCACTTCGGCGGCCCCCGGAGGCTCTTCCGAGAGGCTCTTCAGTGAAGGGGGGGGAGGAGGTTCTTTGGAGACTCCCCCCCTCCTTCACCGTACTCGTTGATTTATACCCTCCAGAGGAACCCTGGCCATACTAACACCCACCGGGCCGCACTAACAACCAACGGGCCACAATAACACCTATCTCCAAAGAGCACCCAAAAGGCTTCAAGGAGGCTTCAAGACGGCCTCGAAATGCCTCGAGATGGCCCCGCCCGGAAGCTCGCAGCAATGCGTTTCGAAAGGCTTCCTGGAACTGGAAATCTAAGAGGGACTTTCTCAGGCTTCTCTCGGGCCTTCTTGGAGCTCTCCCGAGGCCCTCCGAGAGGTCCCGACGAAGCATCGGGAGGCATACAAGAAACTTCAAGAAGGCCCCAAAAGGGCCCCAAAAAGACCGCAAGAAAGCCCCTCCTAGAGGCTCCCGGCACTCCGTTTCGGAAGGTTTCCTGGGAGCATCTGGGAGGGGGCCTCTTGGGGTTCTCTCGAACGTGTTCGGAACTGTCAAGAAGCTATCCAAGGGACCTGTGGCAGCCCTCGCAGGCCCCCCACGAAGAAGCCCTGGAGGGCTTCAACAGAGGGCTGGTGGTCGAGAACCAAACCAAAAAGATGAGTCAGCTCACCAGTGGGCGCGAGGAGGAGGAGGAGGAGGAACTCGAGCGCCCAGGCAGTTCTTTGGCAACAGTGACGTGGAGACGGGGGGCGAAGGTATATCTTCCCGAGGCGTGCAGCCCATCTCCGAGAGCGGAGAGCGGAGATATGATTGCCCCCCTTGGATCAGCGGGCTTGGGAGGGGGGGATTTGTTGAGTATCGTTTATCCGATCCCCATCCCCAGCGGCGTGGCCTGGGCCCCACTGGCCGATTTGCCCCCCTAGATGGGGATAGAGGCCGTTCCCTTCGGGTTTCGAGGGTTGTATCCCCAACTGGGAGGGATATTTGGTGGGGGTCTCGAAGGGGAGGGGGATGATGATGGGGGTCGGATAAACGATACTGGTTTTTGCGCGCTGTCGGGAGGGGGCCAGTGAGAACAACACACTTTTGAAGTTCAATGTTCTGGGCCGGGAAGGTTCGCCGGGTAGCGTCCGCAATCCCCGAGGCGGGCGTGGGAGTTACGGGGCGGTCGTGGGCGAGGGAAGATGAGATATCGATTCCCCAGTCAGTGCTTGCAGTGGAGGGGTCCCTGCGGAGATTGACAGAACATGCGAAAATGTCATGCCAATTTCGGTACGCGGCCAGGTTCCAGGGCTTTTCGAGTTCCGAACCCTCAAAGACGACATTCCAAGGCCCTAGGAGGCCCAAGAGGAACCACCATACAATCACGCAATTGCTCTTTCGCGTGAGATTGTTGTGACTCCGCTGGCCCCCTCTTAGAACCCTCTCGGGGTCCTCTGAGACGGCGCCAGGGGAGGGGCTCGGAGGGACCCAGGAGTGCCCCAAGAGAGGCCCAACAGGAGACAGCACGAAAGCAGAGGAGAGCCCTCTCGCATGACTTCATCTTGTCTCCTCTTGAGCCGCTCCTGGGACCTCCCAGGGTTCCGCTCGAGACTTCGGATGGCTTAGGTACAGCTCCAAGAGGGATGGCCCCTCCCGGACGATCCATCCCAGGAAGCCTCCCGAAGCGCAGCGCCAGGAACATCCAGAACATGGTTGGAGGCCTTCTTGGAGCCTTCTTGGAGGCCTCCTTCCAAGTCCGCATCCCCTCCTTTTCCCATTCTCGGGTCGGGCGAAAGGGGGGGATAGCAAAGGGGGGGTTTGGGAATCAGCTCACGTAGCTGATTTTCCCAGCGCCCCCTGGCGCCGGAGGCGGCCATGTATCGAGGAATGGGCCCCTCGGTGAGGCCGAAACCAGCTGCATGCAGCAAATTTCGTAACCCCCCCTTTCCCAATCTCCCCCTTTCGTTCGGCCCGACATTCTGGCCCCTCGTCGTCCACACATGACCCCCCGCCCACTACCTCGCCCATTCCTCCGCTCTCTCGCCCCGCGCCTGCTTCCTTGCTCGTTACGTTGGCCTGGCGCCAACCATCAATGGATCGCCATTTTTGTTTTTTTTGTATTAAAAAAAACTAGCACCACGAGTTCGGTGGCGATGTGTGCTTGTTGGCCTCCGAGACAGGCAGGCCTGCGCAGGATCGAACCGCCGAGCCGCATCGCATCGGCAACGGGCCGCACCGCCCGCGAATCGCGTGGCTCTGGCTGCCCCCGGGTCGGCGACTCGAGCAGGATCGCATTGCGGCTGCACGCAAGAGCGACCCTAATTAGGCAAGAGTGGCTGCTGGTGCGCGACTCCACGCTGCGCGCGGGGTGGCAGAGCACGAGCGCGCAAGACGCTACCGGCGCGTCGGGCTCGGCGATCGGGGGAGCCCAAATGGGCCCGCACCAAAAGGTCACTCCGGCGAAGGGTCACTCCTACGTCTAAGTCGACGAATCGGCTCGAATCGGAACCGCGGCCCCGGCCGTGGCAGGTGCCCCCCGGGCGGCCGTGGCGGTGCGGGCGCGGGCTCGCACCGCATCGGACCGCGGGCGGCCGTGGCAGGTGCCCCCCGGCGGCCTCACGACGGTCCCGGCAGAGAGCCCCCGGACGAGCCTCGGCGACCCTCACTGTTGGGCACGCGCTGCCCACCGACCAGCTCCTCCTCCTCCTCCTCCTCCTCCTCCTCCTCCTCCTCCTCCTGTGCCTGCGACGGATCAGAGGGGGATTCAGAGAGAGAGAGAGAGTGCGTTCCCTCCGCCGGCGATGCAGGGCCACAGTCCCAAGCAGCAACCAAGATGGGCAACGTGGTTGTGAATTGTGTACCTGCGTTGAGGATCGCAAACGAGGATCGAAACAAACTCGCTGGGAAGGCCTTCGAAAATGAGCCTTGCACGTGCACCTGTGAATGTGGAAGAAGAGCAGCTCGATGTGTCTTCGACCGAGACCGAAAACACGCAACCGCTGCAGAACGGAGTTGAACGGAGAGAGGGCATACATGTATCGACAAGCACACCCACGCACACACCAAAGCTCCTACTCCTCATCGCCATCGTCCGACTCCTCATCATCCTCCTGCTCTCCCTATTCCTTCTCCCCCGAACACGACGCCGACGCCGCCGCCGACGCCGCCGCCGACGACGACGCAAGGCACGCGCGCCAAGCGAGCCGAGGGCGGCCTGGCGGACTCCAGGTCAGTTCGAGCTCGGTGCCCTCCGCGGGGCCCAGGCGGACGTCCTCGGCGGCGGCCGCGGGAGGGGGGGTACCTGCCATGCTGGGCGCGCGCGCGCCTCATCTGACATCCCTCCTGCCCCCTCCCCACCCATGCCTTCCCACTGCGCAGATGCTTCCCCCGTCCGCCGATCGCGGTGCCCTGGCGAACCTGCTCGTGCGGTGCGCCCTGGCACAACGCGGAGCCCCCCGCCTCGCTCCTCCCTCCTCGAGGTCTGGAAGGCCGAGGGGGGCCGCGAACGCACACCTGGGAACGGGAGCGGCGGGGCGGGCGGTGCGGTCCTCGGGAGGACCCGGCGCCTGCGCGGCGTAAACCGCCACCTGACGGGAGCAGGGGAGGTGAGGGGGCGGAGGCAAACCAAATGCGCTCGCAAAACGTCTGACGTCCTACTCATCCCATCCCGTCCTCCTCTCGCGCTTTTGTTTCTCAGTAGATCCGCCGACGCGTGTCATAGCGGACCTAGAACTCCAAAGAGGACACCACCGTGTTAGGCGAAATCGGGAACAAATGGAGCGGTTGGAGGAGGCAGCGGAGAATCAGGAGGATGAGCAGGAGGAAAACGAGGAGGAAAACGAGGACGAGAACTAACAGCAGCAGGAGGAAATGCAGGGGAAAGAGCGTTGGAAGCCTCTTGGGCCGTCTTGGGGCGATTTGAGGGCCTCTTTGGCAGTCTTGGAGCGACGGGAAGCGGAAAAAAATTAGGGAAGATCAGTGATTGTTGCCTCCTGGAGCCCTCCAGGGAGTGCCTTTGGAGGCCTCTGGGGCGTCTTGGAGGTCTCGTGGGCAGTCTGGTTGGCGTGAAGGCGTTCGGGATCGATCATTTGGCGATTGGGTACCCTCTCGGACCGTCTCGTGAGCCTCTTGGGGCACTCTTGGCTTTTTGGAATACTTTTTGCAGCGCCCCAGGACCCCCAGGGGGGATGAGTATCTGACCCCCCCCCCACCTGACGCCCCCCTGGGACCCGCCCCCCCCGGGACCCCCCCCGACGGGAGAGGGATCAAAGGGAAGGGGCCTCTCCCGTCGATTCGCTTACGACATTGCTAGGTTTTCTCTCGCTGACAGGCTCGAGGGTGCAGAAGAAGGTTGGATTAAGGATGGATGACGGACAGCGCGTGAAAAAGAAGCATTGGAGGTGTGAAGGCAAGCCAGGTGCGATTGCGCCACATCCGACAGACGACCCCTCCCAACTATCCTTCCTCGTTGCGCTGAAAATCCTCCTATCTACCAACCGGGCTTTCTTAGAACACCTGAACCCCAAGCTGGCCGTCGCAAGATTCGATGAATCATTTGCTGTACAATCGGGAGTGGACCTTTTGCAGATTGGAAGGGGAAGCGCCAGCATGAGCAGGTGTAGGAGGGGAAAGAAGGGGGACGGAAACAACGAGGACGGAATGGGATCAAGAAACGCGGCCTCCCCACAGCGAGCGCCACTCCAAAAGACGGAAGCAGTGCACCGAACCTACGATGTGACCCAAGCTGCACAGAAAGCGCCAGATAAATTCCAAAACGCTCCGACAAAGCAACATTCTGAGATCCCGTGCGCGCAGGACAATGCGCAAGAGAGGACAAGCCAAGCCGAGATGTTCAGGGGAGAGAGGAGTCGTACCAATCGGTTGGAAGAAGTGGGTAGAAACATTATGCAAAAAAAGGCGGTGAACCAAGAGTGGGCTCCCGCACGTCCCCTGAGGCCTGAGGAGGAGGAAAGAGGGAAACCCGCTCGACTCTTGAAATCACAGGACACCTGAAGTAGATTGGGTCCCCTGCGCTCGGGGGCTACTCCGAAGGTGCCCCGGGCCCAAGGTGCCCCCCCCAGCTTTCCGCTCCGCGTGGAATCCGCGGGAACCCCTGGGCGCCTCGCGAGGGGTGCTCTGGGCCTCTGTGGAGAGATCCTGGGGGGGGCACCTTGGGCCACGGGCACTTCTGGTAACACCCGCTTCTTGGCAAGCAGAGGGCGGCGGCGGCGGAGCGACGGCGGCGGCGGCGGCGGCGGAGCGGGGGGGGCACCGGATCCGACAGCCCGCCGCAGCCCAGGGGCCGCGCGGGCGGGTCCGCGAGCTCCAGGGTCAGGTCGGCGGGGTAGGCGTAGGTGCCCACCACGCAGGCCTGGACCTCTCGACGAAGGCGGCGCGGATGGGGGGCAGCCGAGGGCATCGCTCTGGGAGGTCTCCCGCGGAGGACCCCGGGGGGGGGGGGGGGGGCAGCTCGGGGGAGGGGCAAGCATGGAGCTAGAAGCGGCGACATTTCGCCGAGAGATCAGCGATAGCCCCCCCCCCCGATAGCGAAAAAGGCACACCCCTCTGGGCGCCATCTGGCCCCTCTCGGCGCCGAGTGGGCGGCGGGGGGTAGATGCGCAGATGCTCCCTCCCCGATGGGTCTGACGCCCCCCTGTTCGCTGCCCCCGATTGGGCGGCTCTGGAGGTTCTCGCCACCACGACTGGGCGCAGGTCGGGAATCTGTAGCCCCAGGGCGGAGGCCGCCCAGGCGGGGTCCCAGGCAAGGCAGCTGGGGTCGGAGGCTCGCGTCGCCTCACCGATGCATCGGGGATGCGTCGGCGACACCGGGATGGAGAACATCGGGCCACATCGAACTGCATTGCCGATATACGTCGGCGATGCGGCCCGATCCTCCGACCCCATCTACTCGGACTCTAGTTGAGCGGGCTGGACATAACCAGCCTCGAACTTATCCCCAACCCTCAGATCGGCAAGCCCAAGTCGATGACAATATCAGGGATGTGCCCTCAGAAACTGAGGGGAATCCTTAAGATCGTCACCGAGGTAAGGTGAAGCCAAACACAGGGACAGGGATATGTTCCAAGCTGGAAAGGACAGAATGGGCCCAGGGACCAGGGGGCCCCAGTGGGGGAGCTGACTACCTACCAGATCAACCCGACCCAACCCGGGGACCGCATTTCGGGTTGGGGTGGGACGGGTCCCACATGTGTTGTTTCAGTGTTCCCCGACGCCCCCCCCACTGGGAACGAAGGGCAGATTGGGGCCTGCGGATTGGGTTGGGGTAATTTGTCGGGTGGTGAGGATCTGGGGGCCGATCTGAGGGCGTGTCTTGCGTCGGGGGCAGGGCGAGGAGGAGCAGGGCCGCCCTATCGAAAGGCATGGGGGGCTTCTCGGCAGGGATATCGGCTCCCCTTCGGAGGCTTCGAGAAAAGGCGGCAGAGACGGCAGAAGGGCTGCTGGGAGGCGGAGGGCATCTTTAGAATAGACGAGATCGCTCCACTACTCGCAACAGTAACCACTCGCATATGATATATGGCCAGGATTCGCCGCGGGGGACTTACAATCCATCACATCGAAGCAAGCATGTTTATTGGCCGTTTGCTAGTAGACACTTTGCGAGTAGTGGAACGCGCTCGGTGATAAAAGGGCACCCCCCTCGCACTGCAAGCCCTTTGATCGCCGCGGCACCTTGTAATAGTACTTCGTGCCGGCGGACAGGCCGCTGTCCGTGAACTCCCGCACCGCGGAGGAGGCGTTCGCTGCCGCAGGGGTGTAGCCGAGGTCCGCCCAGGAGATGGTGGACGGGTCGTAGCGCCAGACCCTGTAGCAGTAGATCTCGACACAGCCAGTGAACGCAGGGAAGCCCCAACTGAGGGAGACGGAGAACTCCGTGGTTCCCGTGACGGCCAACGATTGGATCTCATCTGGCAAGCTCGCGAGCGTCGTTCTCAGCCGGTCGGAAAGGGGGCCCTCCCCGATGGGGGTGACGAACGCCATGGCCACCTCGTACACGCCGCCGCAGGTAGCACTCACGACGCTGAACTCCAAGGTTGAGGGCGCGCCGTAGCCGTCGTAGACCAGTGTGGCGGCCTCCTGGCCGCTCTCCCACAGGTAGGCCCGGTAGCCCCACTCGTCCTCGAAGCTCTGAACCCTTGAGATGCCCAGCAGCTCGGCGTCGGAGGGCCAGTCCCACCCGAAGGCAAGCACGCCCTCAGCCGACTCGACCCGCCGGAGGTTCTCTGGAGATCCCGCGGGCAGATTCCCAACCCACTTGGTGATGATCGCCGAATTGTTTCCCTCGCCGTTGACGTTCCAGGCGCGCACACGGAACGCGAAGCGCTGGTCGGGCTCCAGCAGCGTGAACACCTGGCTCGTGTCCAAGTTGTCCGCTGGGGAGTTTGAGTTCTCGTACCACTCGTCGTACCCGGGCTCCATCGCTCGCTCCAGCACGAAACCCAGCACTGGCACGTTGGCCCTGACCTCGTCGTAGACGCTTTCCACGGGCGTCCAGGAAATTATCACCTGCTTCGTACCGTAATACTCTTTGGTCACGTTGATCGGCGCGGCAGGGGGCATCACCATCCACGCTTTCAGCGTATCACTGGCGTCACCGAAGCCGGTGCGTGCAACGGCACGGACAAAGGCGCGGTAGCCGAGGCCCGGGACCAGGTCGTGAACCTCTGTGACATTCTTGAGCGGCTTGCCCGTGCCGTTGAAAGCCAGGGTGAAGGGGCCGCCGCGTCCGTCGTCCAGGAACAGCTCGTAGCCAAGGAGCGTGTTGGGATCGGTCGAGCCGATGAGCTGTGCCGCCAAGTCCACGCCGTCGTCGTTCGGGACGAGCGCGACATCCTGCAGCAGAGTCCACTCGAACTTGAGCGAGGTGTCGTTCAAAGGAGAGGCTGCGAGGCCCGCCGACGTGCACTCGTAGTCGCCCGAAGGGTCGGCCCTGCTCCACTCGCCGCAGACCTTCGCGGGGGGCGCCGTGACAGGAACCGACAGCGCCTCAGATTCCAGGCTCCAGCCGATGCAGTTGAGCGCCTGGACCGTGTACACCTGCCTCCCTTGAACGTCGTTCCCCATGACCCTGACGCTGCTGAAGCAGTCGAAGTCCTGGCCGTACACGTCCAGGAGGCTGTGCGTCCCGACGGGCAGCAGTCCCTGCACGACCTCGCCGTTGCGCAGGACGCGGTAGCCGAGCACGGGGCACCTCGCGCTGTCGGCACCCTGCGGCCTCCACTCGATCATGGCGCAAGCCTTCACGCCTGTGGCGTTCGCCCAGTCCGTGCAGGCCGTGGCCGTGTCTCCGCGGCCGTCGACGGCGCAGGAGGTGAACAGCAGCCAGGGCCGCGATGGCGCCGTCGGCTCCGAGAAAGTACCGATGACGGCCACCGGCGAGGGCGGGCTCGAGCCCGCCGAGTTCTGGGCCGTGGCGTAGAAATAGTACCACCTCTCGGGCGTGAGGTCTGCGATCGTGGCGTTGTTGTCTGGCCCGGAGGCGACCAGCGTAAACGGCCCGCCCTCCACGCTGGCCATGAACAGAGAGTACTGATACACCCGAGCACCATTGGTCTCTACTTCTGCCCAGCCAAGCGTGAGCTCGCCGTCCTCGAAAGCCCACCTGTCAACGGACGCGACGGCCGCAGGGACCGAGGCAACGTGCGGGACGTGGACAACGCTACTCCAGAGACTGGCGCCAGCCTCGCTGGCCGCGAGCAGGCGGTACTTGTAGGTCTCGCCGACGCTTACATTTGTGTCGTTGTACTGCGTCGCACTGGCAGGCAAAGCCGCCAGCACCTGCCAAGCCTTCCCTCCCAGCGCTACATCTCGCTGGATCACGATGGCGCGCGTGGGCACTTTGTTGCCGACCTCAGCCGCAGATTTCCAGCTCAACAGCACGCTCGGCTCCACGGAGTCCGTCGCCACGGTGAGATCCGCAGGAAGCCGCGGCGATAAGCCTATGATGAGAGGCGCCAGCGCCGAGCTCTCGCGCCCACTCTCGGCCCCCAGCGAACTGAACGCCACAGCTGAAGGCGCGCCGAAGAGCAAACTGGCAAGTTCATCTGTCGCCCTTCCGCAAGTGCTGTCGTGGCCAATGCCGCGGACTGTGTGGAGCATGCCGCTGTCTGGCCCCAGCGCTACCGCACAAGCCAGCCCGAGAGCTGCACTGGCCGCCTCCTGCTCCAGGGCGCTGGCGCCCGATACTGCCAACGCAGACTGGTTGAACGGCAGCGGGGGCACCTCCGACAGCGTGCGGAACACGGCCACCTCCGTCGGAGCACCGTAGCCCGTGGAGGTGATGGCCAGGACCTGCACGGAGATCTCGGTGTCCGGCGAGAGGTCGCTGAGGACGAAATCCAGCTGCAGCGGATCGGCGGAAGTGTCCTCGGAAGATCAAGAAGCAGCATACACCGAAACTCTTGAGGGTCCGCGCGGGCTTCTCGGACCGGCGCTGGGCCCCCCTCCATGGCGCGCGGAGCGCGCCAGGGGGCGGCGCCGGAGGCGCCGCCAGGGGGGGCCCAGCGCAGGTCCAGGAAACCCGCGCGGGGCGCCAAAAGTGCTTGCTCACGGCGTTGCCTTCTTCGAGTCCTCGCTGCTGTTGGCCACGCCGCCGCTCCACCGCACGGCGTACCCGAGCACGGGGCTGCCGCCGTCGGAGCGGGGCGGCGCCCAGCCGACGTGCAGCCACGACCGGCCGGCCGCGAGCAGCACGGGGCCCTGCGGCTGCTCGGCCGCCAGGGCGGCGGTGAAGACGAAGGCGTCGCTGCGGGGCTGCTCGGCCCGCTGCAGGGTGGGTATGACGGACACGGCCACCTCTGCGGGTCCATACCCACTCGTCTTGGCGTTTCGGGCTCCCTTCCTCCGATACCAGAGGCGCCGTGGATATGGACAAAGCAATTTCCATGTCCACTCCGTCCTGGAGTTTCTGGCTCCCTTCCTCCGCTACCAGACGCGCCGTGAAGATGGACAAGAAATCATTTCCCCCTTAGAGGTCAGATGTTTATCCATTTTCATTGCGCAGCGGCCTGTTGGCGTCCCTTCCCAGAAAGTCCCAGACGCAGTGGATATGGATATAAGTCGTGCCCGCAACCTTGTACTGGTATCGCACACCTGGCTCCAGGTTCTCGTGCGTGAAGGACAACACGTCCGGCCGGCTGCTGCCGTTGTAGATCAGGTCGAACACACCATCGTCTTCACGCCCTCCGTACAGGATATAACCGCTCACGTCTGACGCGTCCAGGTCTGTGCTTACGTTGACCTGCTCCCACGAGAGGGTGATTGCTGTCCGCGACACTGGCGGAATGTCCCGCACGATCCACTCCGGAGCCAAGATCGTGGGAGTCTTGCACACCACTGTGGTCCAGTCCGATGCATCCGTGCTGTTGAACGCGTCGATGCCGTAGATATTGAAGTATGAGTTCTGAATACCAGCGGTGGCAACAACTCTGTATTTGTACGTTTGGCCGAAGGTGAGGCCAGCGCAGGCTGGGGGATCCATTCCTGGCTCGCAGCCATCCCTGGTGTCGTCGTCCAAATACTCGGTGATGTCCTCCTCGAAAGGATTGAAAGGCCCTATGGTGCGGAAGACCATCGAGTCACCGTCCGCGCGCTGCACGCGCCAGCCCGACAATGGCAGGCCGCCGGTGTCCTCGGGCTCCTTGTACCCGATGGTGATGTTGTTCTTGGCAGGCAGGACTGGGTCGCGCGTACAGTTGACCGACAGGATCACTGGCGGATCAGGCTTGTAAGGCCGCCGAGCACAGACTGTGTTCACGATCGGCGGGTCAATGGTCTCGCCGCCAAGATTTACCGCAGCCACCTGCATCCAGTACACCTGCCCGATCGTGCAGTTGTTGAGGGTGTAGTCCAGGGTGCCGCTGTCGTGTGATCCGTCGTACACAAGCTCCTTGTCCACGTAGACTCGGTAGCCCGTGATCGCGAGGGCCTGGTCGACTGGCGCCAGCCACCTGAAGCGTATCGTTTTCTCGTTCGATGACGCCATCCAAGAGACCGGCGCGGTCGGCATGCCACCGAGGACGAGACTGAGCTCATCGGTCGGCTGGTCTTCGCCTGCGGTCGCGCCATTGTCGGCGATGACGCGGTAGGAATAGAAGTGGCCCTGGGTGACGGTATTGTCCTGAAACGAAGTGGACGACAAGCCGCCAGGGACCAGATCCTTCCACTCGCTGGATTCCTGCTCGAGCACGTAGCAGAACTGCTGCACGGAAGTAGCGAAGCCCGTCACCTCCAGGTCGGCCAGGCAGGACACGAGGCCGCCCTCCGTGGCTGGATCGGCGAGAAAGCTTTTGAGCTCGCCGTAGTACACGGTGGTTGTCCCGTCGGAGTAGTCGATGGTGGTGCTGTTCAGCGCCTGGACCGTCGAGTTGAACTCGCACTCACCGCCCTCCTCTGGGGGAGCCGAAAGATACCGACGCCGCTGCTGCCCGGATCTCCTCCGGGACGCGGTCTGACCAGGTCTGCGGGGCGAATCCAGCCCTGGCGACGAGGGACCCCCGGGAGGCCCAGCAGGGCGCGAGAACGAGAAAAAGGGCGTCGACACTTGCAACGCTTCCTCCGCCAATCCTCGGCGCAGACGGCGACCCGCACGTTTTTCTCGCCGCCCCCGCAGGCGCAGCAAGCGTCTTGGGCCGTGCGCCTCCACTCCCCCGTGGACACCTCCTCACCGCCCAGCTCCGCGCACCGGCCTGGCACCTCGGCGTACCAGCTGCAGTCGAACACGGCACCGTCGGCATCGTACCACGTGGCGGGCTCGTCCTCGTCTGGGGGGCGTGGGGCGACCACTTCACTGATCCTGGCCAGGCACGCCCTGTGCCGAAGTGGTCGGTGTGTGCGGCGCGCACGTAGCACACCGCAATTGCGGATACGAGTGGGGGGGCGGCGGGGTCGTCGGCAGTCTGCGAGGCTCTGAAGAAGCCCGCCGCAGAATCGCGAGGAAGTCTCGGGAGATAACGAGACTTCTAAATAAATCGCAAGAGAAGCCAAAGCGAGAGCGCGATTCCTGAGCGTCGAGTGAGCGGCGTTTGAATGGATTTGGTGATATTCCACACGAGAGCGCGATTCCTGCATACACTGCGAGAAAGTCCCGCGCGAGAGTGCGATGTTGGAATGACTTGTGAGGAAATATCAGGCGGGAGCCGCTGTTGTTGTAAACCGGGGGCCAGGGGCACAATTTTGTGACATCTCACTTCCCCTTGTAAAAACATGCACCTTCAATTGACAAAGTACAGTGGTTACCGCGCAGCGGGGATCAACAATCATCTTCTAAAATTGGGAATTCAAGAACAAACATTTTGAAACTGTTCGCTCGTACCTGCTCGCGTGTCATTCAACACGTTTACCCCAAGCCCTCGTTGCCCGCCCTCTTCGTCTTCGATCGTAACCCCTTAGGGGTATATCTTTCTTACCTGCAGCGTGTATTGCGTGCAGCCCCTAAAGCAGGGGAAGAGAGGACGGATGGAAGGAAAGGACAAGGGGCAGGCAGTTGCTGAAGCGTGCATTCTGCATGAATCGCTCGATTCTAGCGACAGCGCAATTTCCAAATAAACCGTGGCAAAATTCATAGCGGGAGCGTGATTCCTGAGTGTCGAGGGCGCGGCGCGGATTAATTGTGAGGAAGTCCCGCGCGAGACCGCGATTGGGAATCAATTGTGAAGAGGTATAGGGCGGGAGCCGTTGTCGTTAGTTGTCGTTGTTAACCCGGGGCCAGGGGCGCAGTGTGGTGGCCCCACACCTTCCCTCATAAACAGCGGGGTGCAAGCCCAAGGAGAAACACTTTGATTGAAAAATGCAATGGTTGCCGGAGGAGGGATCAACTACACGTATCTTTAAGACATGGGCACTCAACAACAACTACAACAGCAGCAGCAGCAACACCACCACCAACAACAACAGCAGCAGCAGAAGCAACAACAACACCAACACCAACAACACCAACACCAGCACCACCAACAACACCAACACTACAACAACACCACCAACAACAACACCACCACGAACAACAACAACGGCAACGACAACAACAACAACAACAACAACAGCAGCAGCAGCAATAACAACAGCAACAACAGCAGCAACAACAACAACAACAACAACGGCAACGACGTCAACAGCATCAACAACAGCCATAACAACACACACAACACAACAACAGCAGTAATAACAGCATCAATTACAACAAACGCAGCAGCAACAACAACGTCAACATCAACGTCAGCAACAATCAGTTTAAGACTCTTCGCTCTTATCTGCTCGCGTGCCCTTCACCACCTAGATTTCAAACCCTCGATGTCCGCACTCTTCGTTTTCTATCGTGCCCCCCTTAGGAAAGTATCTGCTTTACCTGGAACGAGTAATTCGTGCAGCCCCAAAGGCAGGGAAAGAGAGGACGGATGGAAGGAAAAGACAAGGGGCAGGCGGGTTGCTGAAGCGTGAGTCCTGCATGAATAGCGAGGAAATCTCTGGCGACAGCGCGATTTCCAAATAAACCGTGGCCGAATCCACAGCGAGAGCGTGATTCCTGAGTGTCGATGGCGCGGTGTTTGAATGAATTGCGAGGAAGACCCACGCGAGAGCGCGATCCTTACATAAACTGTAACGACGTCCCGCGCGAGAGCGCGATTTGGGAATCAATTGTGAGGCAGTATCAGGCGGGAACCGCTGCTGTTGTAAAGCGGGAGCCAGGGGCGCAGTATGGTGGCCCCACACATTCCATAGTAAAAAAAAGGTTCGGGCCCCGGGAAAAACACTTCAATTCGAAAGATACAGCGGTTACCCGAGAGGTGAAATCAACACTAATCAACAACATAAACAACAATAAACAACGTCAACAACAATCAGCTTAAGACTATTCGCGCGTAACTGCTCGCGTGTCATTCAACACGTGTATCCGAAGCCCTCGATGCACGCCCTCTTCGTCATCCATCGTACCCGTTTAGGGGTATATACTTCTTACCTGCAGGGTGTATTTCGTGCAACCCCTGTGGCAGGGGAAGAGACGACGGATGGAAGGACGGGACAAGGGACAGGCGGGTTGCTGAAGCGTGTGTCCTGCATGAATCCGGAGGAACTCTCTTGCGATAGCGCGGTTCACAAACAAATCTTAATGAAATCCACAGCGAGAGCGTGATTCCTGAGTGTCGAGAGCGCGGCCTTTGAATGCATTGCGAGGAGGTCCCACGCAAGAGCGCGATCCCTGCATGCACTGTGGGGAGCTATTGCGCGAGAGCGCGATTTGGAAATCAGTTGTGAGGCAGTGTCAGGTGGGAGCTGCTGCTGCTGCAAACCAGGGGCCAAGTTCAACATTTGGTGGCACCTCACTTCCCCTTGTAAAAGCCGCGTGCGAGACCCAGGAGAAGCACGTTCATCAAAAAATAGAATTATCACCGGGCAGGGTGGAACAACAATAATTAGACTGATTGCTCCTATCTTCTCGCGCGCCATTCGGCACGTATGTCCCAAACCCAGGGTACATGCCCTCTTCGTCTTCGATCGCACTCGCCTCGGGGTATGTCTGTCTTGCCTGCCACGCGCACGTAGTGCAGCCCCCAAGACAGGAGAAGCGAGGACGGATGTAAATGGCGAGGGAGAAGGATGGAGCACGAGAGTAATTAGCAGGAGGCGGGCGAAATTCGCACCGTGGGACGCCACTTCAGCCACGCACCCAGGGACAATGAATGACCGTTCGGCCCCCTCACTCTGATGTGTATGTGTATGCGTGGTGTGTACGTGTCTGTGTCTGTGTCTGTGTCTGTGTCTGTGCCCATGTCTGTGTGATCTGTCGGTGTGTGTGGTCTGTGGGTGTGTGTTTGTGTTTGTGTTTGTGTATGTGTTTGTGTTTGTGTTTGTGTTTGTGCTTGCGTTTGTGTTTGTGTGTGCGTTTGTGTTTGTGTTTGTGTGTGGTTGTGGTTGTGGTTGCGGTTGCGGTTGTGGTTGTGGTTGTGGTTGTGGTTGTGGTTGTGGTTGTGGTTGCGGTTGTGGTTGCGGTTGTGTTTGTGTTTGTGGTTGTGGTTGTGTTTGTGATTGTGCTTGTGATTGTGATTGTGCTTGTGCTTGTGCTTGTGCTTGTGCTTGTGCTCGTGCTTGTGCTTGCGCTTGCGGATGTGGTTGTGGTTGTGGTTGTGGTTGTGGTTGCGGTTGCGGTTGCGGTTGCGGTTGTGGTTGTGGTTGTGGTTGTGGTTGTGGTTGTGGTTGTGGTTGTGGTTGTGGTTGTGGTTGTGGTTGTGGTTGTGGTTGTGGTTGTGGTTGTGTCTGCGGCTGTGGCTGTGGTTGTGGTTGTGGTTGCGGTTGTGGTTGCGTTCGTGGTTGCGGTTGTGGTTGTGGTTGTGGTTGTGGTTGTGGTTGTGGTTGTCTGTTGACGCGGGGCATATAAAGGCAAAAGGAGCCCACTGAGGGCCCAGGCCCGCGTGAAGGGCCCTGGCCCACAGGGGCCTTCCCAAGACAGGAGGAGGGCGCTTCGGCCCCGAGAGCCTCGACGACGTCGGACAACTCCTGCCTCGAGGGCGCTGCGGCACCGAGGCGCAGCGCGACGCGCCCGAAGCTCTACCCCCGTCTATAGGGCATCTCCCGCACCAAGGAACATACAGGAGGAAAAATGCGGCGCAAACGGGCACAGACTGCAAAAGGCACATACTCATGCAAATACAGGAGGCCACTCACTCACACACACACACGACGCGCGATCACATTCCGAGAAGGAGAACACTGACTAAGCAAACCAGCGGACGCATCTGCCAAGGACAGCCTCGCGCGTACACATAACTCTGAGAAGACCACACTCGAACTCATCCTCGAAGTGGCTGTGCAAGCGGGCACAGACTGCAACAAGCACGCACACATGCAAGTACAGAAGGCCACTCACTCACACCCTCAACGCGCGATCACATTCAGAGCAGGAGAACACTGCCAATAAACCAGCGGACGCTTCTGTCAAGAACAGCCTCGCGCGTACTCTGAACACTGAGAAGTCCTCACTCGAACTCACTTCCGAAGTGGCTGCTGCGCCCCAGCCGAGCGCACTGCTCGGCGAAGCTCGGCGAGCCCTGGGCTAGCCACGCAGCACGCTCGAGGTCGCACTCGGCAGCGCGCTCGCTGCCGTCGGAGAACTCGTCGATGAGGTACTGGCCGTGGTCGGGCCCGTAGTCCCTGAAGACCCCTGACACGGAGGAGACGTAGGAACTGCAATCGCCGCCAACGGAGCCTTCGACGTCCTCGTCGCGCTCGACTCCTCGGCGCACTCCAGCCTCACCATTCGCAGCTCCGTGCAGAAGCTGACGTCTGGCTCCAGCTTCGCATCCACCGTGGCGTGGGGCTCCACCATCGCTCTCGCCAGCGCCATCGCCCAGCGCTGCGCCTTCGGGGTCTGCCTTCACGGCCCCCCCAGGACGCACTGCACCCCAATCGCCATCAGCAGGGCAGCAATCCCCCGCAGGGGCCCGAAAGCTCTGCACGTGGAGCCCCTCCAGCGGCACCGTGCGCTCCACCTCGAAGTCGCCATCGAGCTCGCTCTCTAAAATGGCGTCCAGCTCCACGCAAGAACTGCCACCGTCGAGCTCGCCGCAGTCGTCGTCATCGAGCTCGCAGACCTCCTCCGAGACGCCCTGCATCTCGTCGCCGTCCCCGTTCGTCTCGCTGTTCGGGGCGTCCACGTCCTCCTTCCCACCCGCCGCGGCCCTGCGCTCCGCCAGCCGCCACCCCGCCTCCAGGCCGTCCACAAAGGCCTCGGCATGCGGGGGCGTCTCCGGCGGGAGCCACATCCCCGGCGCGAGCGGCATGAGCACGTGACAAGCCCTTCCACTCTCGAAGTCGAACTGGCCGACGACCTGCTCCTCCTCCGTGGATGCGCCGTCCGCCGCCAGCCAGCCCAGCAGCGCGTGCACGTCGGCACCAGGGTTCGGCACCTCGCGCGGCACTGCCGAGCGCCTGCAGGCGGCCCCCAGCTCATCGACACCGATCTCCACCTTGAAGTCCGACCCCACGTCCTCGCCCGCGCGATCCGCGGCCACGACGGCCCCGAGCCTGGGCCCTCTCGCCGCCTGCCGCAAGGCGGCCGCGGGGGCACAGCGCAGGTTGCCTGGCACAAGAGCCGCATGCATGGCGACGTTGCGCCGCAGCCGCTGCAGCACCGTCGGGCTCCGACCCGCCAGCAGGGCGACCAGCGCGGGCGCGCAAGCCGCCAGGCGGTCCGCTAGGCCGTCGCACTCGGTCACCGCGTCGAGCGCCTCCAGGGCCGCATCGAGGCCCGCGCTGAGCTCCTCCACCTTCGCGGTGAGGCGCTGCGCGAGCCTGTCCGCCGAGGCCCTGGCCCACGCTCTCCGCTGCTGCCGCGACGCGGCCATCTCCCGGCGCCCTCCAGTGGCGCCTCCCGCAGCCATCATGCTCGCACCGCCCGCCGCGCCTGGGGGGTTCGAGCCAGCTTGAGCCAAAATGGCTACGGATTGTGTCTGTGTCTGTGTCTGTGTCTGTGTCTGTGCCTTGTGCTTGTGCTTGTGCTTGTGCTTGTGCTTGTGCTTGTGCTTGTGCTTGTGCTTGTGCTTGTGCTTGTGCTTGTGCTTGTGCTTGTGCTTGTGCTTGTGCTTGTGCTTGTGCTTGTGCTTGTGCTTGTGCTTGTGCTTGTGCTTGTGCTTGTGCTTGTGCTGCGTGCGTGCTTGTGCTTGTGCTTGTGCTTGTGCTTGTGCTTGTGCTTGTGCGTGTGCGTGTGCGTGTGCGTGTGCGTGTGCGTGTGCGTGTGCGTGTGCGTGTGCGTGTGCGTGTGCGTGTGCGTGTGCGTGTGCGTGTGCGTGTGCGTGTGCGTGTGCGTGTGCGTGTGCGTGTGCGTGTGCGTGTGCGTGTGCGTGTGCGTGTGGTGTGCGTGTGCGTGTGCGTGTGCGTGTGCGTGTGCGTGTGCGTGTGCGTGTGCGTGTGCGTGTGCGTGTGCGTGTGCGTGTGCGTGTGCGTGTGCGTGTGCGTGTGCGTGTGCGTGTGCGTGTGCGTGTGCGTGTGCGTGTGGGTGTGGGTGTGGGTGTGGGGTGTGGGTGTGGGTGTGGGTGTGGGGTGTGGGTGTGTGGGTGTGTGGGTGTGTGGGTGTG